CGTAAAAAAACTATTTTAAAAAACAGGTAAAAAATGAACCAGAACTTCAGGGAGCCCAACTCTTGGGTCACTTGTAACAACTCTTCCAGGGCAGTGTGAGGTATGCACGGGTAGCCTATTCTATACAGGCGTGTCACAGTTAGCGAATGCACACAGGTGATGACTATACAATACCGGTGACAGTCATTACAGAAACAGGGATTTGGTTAATATCAAACTAATCTCAGCAAAAGCCTAGGCCTGACTGTAAAGAATACAAATTCAAGGATGTCTTTTACTTCACTTGCTTATTTTACACATGTGCTTGCATAGAAGTACAACTGCTCGGACAAACTGCTGTCTGAAAAGCAAAAATTATGCACAATAATTTGTTAACCCTTCGTCATTCCCCTAAAATACTGCAACAGTGGGAAATCCCATTCAGTGACAAAAAAATACCATGGAGAAGAGTAAGCACATCCTTTCTAATGCCTGCAGCAAAGAGATATTTATAATGATAAAACTATACAACTTTGAATGTCTTGAAGAATATAAATTTGTAGTCCATTTACCATAGACAAGGATCAAGTCAAAAGTGCACAATGTTAGCCTTTGTGTTCTTTTAAACAATATATATGCATACTTTCATACAATAGCACACATCTATATATAGCATTAAAAGTTGGGATTTTTAGAGTGCTTTTAACAGCCTACCAGACACAGAAGAAATACTGGTAGTCATTTTGAAGGTAGGCCATTTCAGCTGCTAAATGTAAGACTCCACCATACACCATTTTGAAAAGTGACATTTGATGGAGTCTCATACTGAGCAGTCGAATTTGATATAGCTGAAAGAACGAGGAAAAAGGAAGGAAAGACAGCAGAGATGAGACATCAGAACACACAACAGATCTGCCCATCTTATCAAAGCCATTCTTATGTTCTATTCAAGTACACACAAGGTTGTTTTCCGAGCTGACATGGGGGGGGGTGAAAATTAAAGTAAACTGATTGCAATAATCAGTCAACGTTTACTCTCATTTTGAATCACCACATCAACTAACATAAAATATATTAACTAGTTTGTGCCTTTGTTAAAGCTGTAGAAATAGTTTTTAAGTAAAGCCAACATCACACGCTAGAGTGAACCTGAGTGGGTAAGCTAAAACATCAAGGGCCAATTCGTTAGTTACAGTACCGGTAGTCTGAATAATGAATAGCACATTAACACAATAATGGACAGTTAGTACCCGGAAAAAGAAAGGTATAAAACAAGTGGGGAAGGGGGAAAATAAGAAGTAGAAGCAACCACTGGCACCCTCCAACTACCTGCAAGACCAGTCTACAAAAAAACCCCTAAAAACTTTAGAAATGCAGGTACTTTTACACCCGCATCGACAACTATGCCTCTCATGGGTTACATTGAGCAGTCGAATTTGATATAGCTGAAAGAACAAGGAAAAAGGAAGGAAAGACAGCAGAGACGAGATATCAGAACACACAACATATCTGCCCATCTTATCCCCGCTGAGAGGGATACATCCCAAGAGAAAGACAGATGCTCGGAACCCCCCCCCCCCCCCCGCCCCATCCAAGAAGCGTATTTAGGTCTCTCACATGTGACCGCGGAACACCCAACTGCTGCACCACAGACACCTGCAGCCATACTGTGTGCCAATTTTTTTCAAACTTGAATGAGACAGACTAGATATGAAACAAACAGTTTTAACAGGAGGATCACTTTCTATATCCTGTAATAAAGTGGCTAGATGTTCAATGCCCTAATCTACACAATTTACGTGTACATCATTCAGAAGGCAGGCGGCGAGTCGAGGCCACCTTAAGCTGTGTGGTCTACATTCCAGCAGAAAGATGGAGACGTTCCATAAAGCATCTTCCCAAAGTTAATTCGCTTCTTCAGTGAGCAACGGAAAGAGCCAAACCATTGCAGCAGAGATGATGCTAGGTAAAATCCAACAGAAGCTACTATCAACTATCAGGTTCATGAGTGCTTTACAATAAAGGAATTACCCAAGATGACTTGGTGGGTATAAATAACAGATGCGTCTGTACATTCTGCATTTTCACAAGCTTTCTACCCCTGGGATATAAGTAAAATCTTGCCCGTTTACCAGCCTTTGTGGGACCCCCTATAACAGCAGCATATTCTTAAAATTTTTTTTAAAGAACCTAAGCATATGATCTATAAAAATTTATACCCGAATTCTTGGCCACAGAAATAGGTAAGTTTCGATGAAGTATAGATTTATAATGTGTAAATCTGTATGATTGGTGTATAGAGGAATGTATTATCAAAGCCCAACAAGACTATCCAGGTCTAGTGAGATAAAAACTGCTGTTTGTAAAGACACAAACTAGCTATACATAGTTTTGGATTGATATAGTAGGAAAAGCATGCTTCACTGCCACTTTATCTCCATAGTTACTGAGACAAACGCACACATATGCCTAACTGTCGTGCAAGTACAGCCAATACTATGAAAGGTTTTTTTTTATAAATCTGTTTTTGATGCTCATTGCTCAGAATACCAACATCTGTGGCATAATGGTCAAGCTCTTCATGGTTAGATGTTAGATGAAGAAGACAAGAATTGATTCAATTTGTGGAAGAGGACAATTTTTGTGTCGAGTATCTTAGTTCGTCTGCTGATATGTTATATTTCACTAACCTTGGGTTGACCCGAAGAAGCCCACCTCTTAAATATAACTCAACTGTGTCCATAGGGGAATGAAACATTTATGCCTACAACTCACACAAAAAAAAAATGCTCAGGACTTTCTAAATTCTTAGAAGATAAACTTTAGAGTAGATCTGCATATATACCATTGCTCATTGTAAGACTTTGTTATATGTCACTTTTTAAAATAGCATATGGCAGAATCTTACAAAAAGCAATCGACCTGTTGGTTTGTGAACGAAAACGGGTCATGGAATTTTAGAGGGGCTTACAATTGAAATTCTAGCAGGATCCACAACCCGTCCATTGTAAAAAGTAAAAAAGTAGCAAGTGTTTGTGTTTAACCATATAAACTCTATGACTAGATGAAACTTTCATCAGTGTGAAAATAACCAAATTCTGCCCTGTAGTTGTGTATTATTTGTGGCAATATACCACAGAGACATATATGCTTGTGTAGCCTATGAGTTCTTGGTTCACTTTGCTTTGGTTCACTGGGAAAATCTACATAATCAAAGTTGACATCACACTCAAGGGACTGACACAGGAGTATGCTGGTATATGACACCACACGTCAACAACAGCAGCAGAAACAACAACAGTATATATTACAATATGTATAGATATCTTTTTACATGATAAAACTGCAACAAAAGGTCTCTGGAATTCACAGAAATCTTACACTTACAAGGACAGCACAGTGCCAGAGAAGGAATTTTTTCCAAAGGGATCCCATTCCCATTATATTTATCACCCCTCTATTTTGTTACTTTCTTTGGTCGATGCTACACCTCTGCATCTCTCATCACTCCATTTCCACGTGGCACATTCAAAGAGAGGTACTGAATGCACAAAAATAAAACAAAAATTCTGATATTATATGTATACGCTGTATATCCGCGTAATTATATTCATTTCTCCTGTTGAGGAGATTTTATTGACGGCATACATGGTATGCATCAGCAGCACTGACAGAAACAGATCATTACTCCGTGTTCACCCAAAGAGGTTATAGATAATACTAGCGTTTGCGGCAGTGACAGTACCCGTGTCAGACATGGGGACCTTCTTTTCCAGATCGGCATGGCTAGTGCACTCCCATTTACATGAACAACCTGAGCCCCCACCCTGTTCCTCATGAGCTCAAGTATATTAAACACTGCCCTGCCCCCCACATTTCAGTGCAAGGTTGTAGATTTCCTCCAAAGACCTTCAAGCGAGAGTCCTGAAAAGTACTCATCCGTCTGATTGCACACATATCTTGCCTGTAAGGCTCAGCTTCTCAGGGTGGACACATGCAGCCCTCAATCATTTATGTGGGTGATATCACTGCCACAAACTCTAGTACTAAAAAACAAATACTTGTATAACCTCTTTGGTGTCTACTAAATTCATCTAAAAACAGCATCTGACCTACAAGTGATGCATAGCTGGGCTACTTCTGTACATTCACACAGCTAGACTCACTTTTTCAATCATTCAATATTCCCAAAAACCTCTTCTCTAATAAAAAAGCAGCAATGTATTACCTAGTTTAGTTTTAGTGAGAGTTTTCACGGCACTTACAACACAATAGTGTCATATAAGTGACGAATATCAGAAATGTTGTAGAGAGAAACAAAATAAAAAAGGAGAGAGATGTTTGATAGGAAAAAAGCAGCAAGCCCCACATGATCAACCACCAACCACCCACAACGTATTTCAAACCAGAAAGACAAAAAATCCACAAAAGTTGGCGCTAAAAACAACAGAGATGGTCACGTCCTGCACCCTTTTCACAACAGCCAGGGATACGTAAGGGGAGGAAAAACTAAAATTAATTTGTTCTTTGCAGCACTTTTTGGTGCATACGAATACGATGGTCTGCCCAGGAGCCACATGTAAGTCAGAACTCTACAGACCCATTCTTTAGGCCACCTAACCAGAAGTCAACACAATCTATCTTGGCAATCAATTCCACGTAAAAGGGAAACAAACCCCTTTTCAATCTAGAATATTGCACAAACTGACAATCGTTATTATATTGGGTTTTTTTTGTCATAGTAAAAACTCGCAGACAAAGAGAACTATACCTCAAAATATTTGTACTTCTAAGATAAGCTGCTAAGCAGCAAGTGAAGTGTACTTTGCTCAGCAAAGAGATTCACCACAATAAACAACAGCTTTCCAGATCCTGCGAAGGAATGTATTATAATATATATATATGTAATAAAATTACAAGGTGAAAGCTGGAGAAGATCTGAAAATTGATTGTCTGTAAAATGAAATCTTCAGCTTAGATCAAAGTCAGTTTTGATTTCTTTTTTAAGTCTCAATTTTTAGTTTTGAATATTTAGTCAGAAATAAGACTTCTATTTTGGAAATTTAACCCTTTCAGTCCTGTTTTTGATAATTGTCAAATTAGGGGTTCAGTGCCAACTTAGACAATCATCAAAAAATCAAGTTGGGTTTCATTTAACAATGTTTGGATAATAGATAATTTTCAATTACATTTCCAAATAGGAAACAGTTCTATGCCGAAATAAATGTTTTTAACAAGCCTTTTTGTACAGTGGTGTAAAATTATTATTTCACCCATTTGCAGCTTGACTCTTCCTTGTTTGCGAAAATTTAGGAGACTGGCACTGAAAGGGTTAAAAATAATAGCAGAAAAGCTGTTGTTTGTGGTCTACAATTACTTTGTAACTGCAGTCACTGACTATTTGAAAGTCAGTAAAAAGGGAGCTGGCAGATTTAAAACAATCTGTCGGCTTGTACATGATATCTGGTGCATATTATATTCTTAGTTTCATTTTTTTTAAAAACAAACAGTGGAAATAACCACTTTATGTCTACACAGCAAGCAAATAAGCTTGGTAACAATTGTAACTAATAAAAGTAAAAATAGAGAGTGCATTTTATAACAAATGCTGTAACAAACAAAAAACAATGCATCAACACATTGCCTAAATTGGCATGCTAACAATGTCATTCTTTGGACCTTATTAACTAAGAATTCTCAAAACACAAAACACTGACGGATTAAAAACCAGGTTACAAACAATCTTTATCACATCACGCTTTTCAGATAACTAGGAAAACAGATGTGATAACACTGAAGACAAAATTTGACTGTTTAAAACGGTTTCTTTGATTCTCACCCTCCCTGAAAACCCCCCCCCAAGACATTGTGAATATTGTCTCAGCCGTTGAACTACCCAGCAACTGAGAGAAGACTAGCTCTATAACCAGTAAACCTGGTGCTCTCACAAAAATGGAACAACAGCAAGGGTGGTGACATATAGTAGAGAGAGAGACGTTTGAACGCACATCACACACAACAGGAATGATTTCAAATGTTCTGCTCCCCTGAAGACACAAATCAGATAATTAAGGTGGTAGGTTGCTTCCTAACTCCCTGTCATAGACATAGCAAATCTCCACAAAGTGGAATATAGCATCCCACGAGGCTGACAGAAACACCCAGTTCAATAACTTTCCCGAACGAGAAGCAAACTTGCGATTTTTTAGCGTGCAAATAGCAAAGAGCCTAATCATTACACCACAGATGTCACTGACACTGAATGGAACGGGGAAAGCCCAAATGTGAGAATGATCCACAAACAATAGTAACATATTGCTTGGACCAACTACTTTTTGATTAGGCCAAACTCCAATATTTGTGACAATCAAAAGAAAGCAGATTTTGTTGTAAATAGACTAGCTCAGTATCCAAGCACATCTTGTCTTGAATTTGCTGCGGGAAAAAAAAGAAACAAGAGAAACATTTTCTCATGTCTGTTACGTCTGATATGACTAAAATAATACCAGAATATGCTAAAATTCATCAATGAAAACCTTGGAATATGAGAATAATGGTGAAACACCAAACCAATGTGCCAGGACCTGGACAATAAAGATGTATCTTATCTTATTTTATAATTGACGTAGGAATATGACAATAATCCACAATTGTTCGAGCCACATTTCAATTTTACAAGTTAAAAAGCACAACAACATATACAAGACAGCACCATAGTATTGCCCTTAAACATGGATCCAAAAGCACATCTAGAAAACCTTTTACTTGAAGTTGTCACCAAAACCAACAATTATTGAAAGCAATGACTCAACTAAGTTTCAACAAAACATACTCATCCCTTCATAAGGAATAATTATTACAAATAGCTCTACACTGAAATGCAGAACAACACAGAAACAAGAAGTAGCCTTGAAAAAGCCTCCCCAACACCATGAGTAATTGATAAAGAAGAACAATGCCAACTTTTCTTTTCAACTCCTCATTACATTAGACAACCAATGATGGGAAAACACACGGTTGCCTTGCTATTAGTAGTGTTATCATTGTCATAATGGGATGTTCTCATTTCCTGACAACATCAGAAAACTCACAGGTAGGAAATATTCCTTCACTGAACAAATTAATTTCCCACAGGATCAAGCAAAAAAACCCTCCCAAAAAACAATATGAAAATCACAACAAAAATTTGATCAATCATAGCAAAAGTATAACGGTGAAAGAAACAACCAAACACTGTAACCAAAAAGTTCATTGGGTAGAGTTTGATAACCGGAGAGCAGATTGTCATAGTCTCAATTACATCACGTACACAAGTAACAATTTACCTCAACATGGTTTTGGACTGGCTGTTCAATATGTATGTCAGCTATCTCTATCAAATATGCACCAATCAGTGGCTGTACATTCTGTAGCTGAGCAAGAAACAAGAACAATATTTTCATATACAGAGAAAAATCAGCCCCTTAAATAAAATAAACCTGGCTTAAACAACAGAGGAGTATAAAACTAGGTGTAAGGGATAAACTACTTTTGTTAAATGTTGCACATGAAATATGAATATTTGACATACACATGCCAGAGAACCAATAAAAATAAAAGCAACAAAATTAAAAAGGAAGAAACACTACGAGGTACCCTGAGCACATATGGCACACGGAAGAAGAGATACAAACACTTTATTAATAACATCACTAGGGTATCTACTCTGAACCTTGATGTAAGGGAAAGTCGATATCTGGTATTTTCTCTTATCACTGGTGAAGTTTGTACCAAATAAAAACTTTCCTATCGTGTGTCTTACACATATATCTATATTTAAATTACACATAGTCCTGCAGCAGACAAACAAAAGCACATTCTCACATAAAACCTCCAGTCACAGCATTCAATGGCTTGAGTCCATACCATCGCCCAGCTGTTCAGACGTCTTAAGCCCAAAATTTGGAACAATTTTTATCTATTGTAGATTTTTAAAATCTGTGGTATCTGTGCATGTGCACAAGAAATATTTTATCGAAAATCAAATTCTAAATGTTGACAAAAGCAAGCACTAATACATAATTTAGGTATAATTGTTTAAAGAATGAAACAAATTTTTTTCTCTCTCTCCTGAAAACTTTGATTTCTGGGCTTGGTACATTTAAACAGCTTGCCGACTAAATATATACAAAGAAGAGTTTCACTGGACATCCAGCAACGATGTGAATACAGCACCGGGCTGTGCCTGTACTGAAGCAATAGAGGGAACAAAACTTTTTTTACAGGGTAAGTGCCTCCCCGATTGCTCACTCTCATTATTGGTCTTCCAGTCCTCAAACTTTTGAGAGCATCTACAATTCCAAGGAGCTCAAAATGTATCTTAATTTTATTATTTGTTTTTTAAAAAGTTTGATGGCACTTGCAACACAATTAGGTCACATAAGAGCCTTAGATTAGAGGTGTTACAAGAGAGTAACAAGCGCAGAAAAAGAAGGAGGCGAGATAACAACGATGGAAGTTTGATATGAAAGAAGGAGCGAGCCAAACCAGAGCACCCATCAACCACCCACCAGCATCCATAATACAAAGTAACTCAGAATGTGTGTAGATGTACACAAAAAGACAGCTGGATTAATAGCAACAATTGGCATACATCTACAGAACAGGGACAAAGACAGAAACGGTTAAATTAAATATAAACTGTATAAAAAGCTCACGTAAAGTAACAAGACTGCATATACGACCCAATTGTGAAAACAAAGCAGGAAAAACGTAAGAAACAAAATAACCTATCCCCTTCCATATTTACGTATGCATTGCAGCAATTTTTTTCAAAACTTTTGTGCCTCTTTCCCCTCAGATGCTCAACATCTGTAGTGAACACCCCAAATTATCACGACTGATATTTTCAAACTCTCTACAGTGATAAATACAGAAAAGTTTAAGCATTTAATCCCTTTTTGTGCATTTTAAAAGAGAGGAACTTTTCAAACTCTCTACAGTGATAAATACAGAAAAGTTTAAGCATTTAATCCCTTTTTGTGCATTTTAAAAGAGAGGAACTTTTCAGGTTTGAAGCTGAAAACAGGAAGAGTATTACTCCAACTAAAAGTAAAAAATCCTTCTTACCTGAACGATAACTCCATTGCCACAATTAAATCAAAGTATGAATACAGGAAACTTTGAGTATTGAAACCGTCAAATAAAAACTAGGCCAATATGTCAATAAATCAATAAGTGGATGAACAAACAATTTTCCCTGTAAGCTGAGTAATTAAGCAAAAGAAAGTGCATCTTGATCTATACTCTTAACACTGTTCAGAGTAGCAGGTAAAGACAGCTACCCAGGGTATTGATGACACTCATATATAACATGTCTCGTTAGAAAACACTCAAGAAATGAGTAAAATATTGGATGCAAAATGAAACCTTCATCATAAAAGACATCAAACAAAATGGAACAAAGAGTTTTGTAACATGTCAATAAGCAACAGAAATCCTGATACAATGTCACCAACCACAATTACTGTGAAATGCAATGTAACATTTCCTTAACTGAGGTTTCTTTACAACAGCCCTCCCAATCTCCCCTAAAAAAACCAACAACAACAAAAACAATTTAAAAAACAAACAATAAAAAACCAATAAAAGATAACAACCTTCCTCCCTCTGATATATACATAAAATACAGTTCTTTAGAAATCAGTTGAACATTTGGGGAAAAGAAATCCTGTAAAAGAATATGGTTACTTGCAAACTGCGGCAGGCAAATTAAAAAAACAACAGCCGTAAAAATGCATCAGGCAAACAGGTATAAAGAAAATGCATCAGTAAACATAGAACACCCTAACTGTGAAACTTGGAATTGAACTGTCATGGAATAAAATAGAATAAACACAGGAGTTGAATAAATGAAATCAATTTCCTTCATTGCTGACTTTGAGATAGAGAAAAACTTACAAAACAATATATATTAATGAAAACAGGTATTGGTAAACATTTGAAATTGATGCTCAGTATAAACAAAACCCCAGCAGGTGGACAGGGCTGCAAACTCGTAAAGCTTTGCCCACCTCAACTAAGCTTCTATCAGTATACTGCCCATAGTTAATCTACAGCATTACAATCAGTAAGAATGAAACTCAATTGCAGGTGAAAAGAATCAAGCACGTATCATATAATGAACGATATTCTATCCTGCATTCTCCTACTTTCCAAGCTCATTTGTACCATGTCACAATCATCAACATAACAAATCATATACTAAACAATACTATATTTACAAATTTCACACATTCATCAGTGATCAATTGGTGGAAGGCATCGTTATCATTACCGTGCAGGTGAGAAAGAAGAAACAACAACAACAACAACAACAAGAAACACAACCAGTAGGTTGGTGCTGAGCACAGTAGTCACTGGAAATTCCATTCTAAATGGAAGCATGGCAAATGAAAGACACTGCTTTTGACAGCCAGGTCACACCGAACAAGGCGAGATTGCATTCTCCTCTACATGATTAGCATGATCTAAAACATTTTCAGCATTTCGAGACTTGGAATAGATCAGAAAAGACCCCATCTTATCTTATCATACATCTTCTTAAAATAAAATAAACCTCATTATCCCAAGAGGTAAGTCTCCGCATAGATTCACTCAAACAGTAAAAAAAACATCATCACACATAAGGCATGGGATGAGCCAATAAGCAATGTAATGTCAACAGTGGAAACATGATAGAAAAATAATTATCTGCTGAAGTTACACATTCTTATAGGCATGTAATGTTGCAAGCCACTCATGCTTTGAAACACAATGTGGTTCAGCAAACTGGGCATTGGTGGCTTTGAATGCGATGCACAGAGGATGTGACTTTGTCAAATTGAAAGGCTGAACTTGCTCATAGTGACTTAACTCCACATCAAAATCCCATTTAGAACACAGTTTTTCATGTATTCCAATGCCAGAACAATACCATGGCATGCCCTTCATCTTTGACAAGTTGTACTTTGTATGCACCCTATAGGAAGCCTGCCAAGACACTACACATACAAGAAATGGACGGGGACTTCTAGTTGCCGCAACAAGTTGGCCAAAATTCATATTAAGCCTGTTTGGATGAGAAAAGCCACCAGCGAAGATTTACGTCAATAGTCAGCCAAGTAGACATGAGAAGAACAGAGAAAAAAAATTATAAGCCTGGTTTAAAAATAAAAAGCCCATGTAAAAACAAGTCATGCTCTTAAAAGACATATATATGCATTAAATCTCAGTTAAATAAGTGATAGCATCTAGCTTATAGTTTTGATGTTAAAAAGGAATAATGTTTATTCGGAGCAAATGAAGTCTATTTATTTTGTTTTTGATTTCACTATCTACTAAACGACTAAAGAAGTGTTGAAAGTGACAATTGTAATAAAGTGAAGATTGTAAAGGTCAAATGTCGATACCAATATATGCAAAAAAGCATACACACTAATTGCCAAATACAACAACCATGGCAACATTTTAATTTTTTTGTAAATAGCGTTGATGTTTCTGATATGTTTATTACATATAAGTAAGAAGTGTTGTCAGAATTTCTTTTAAAAATTCTTTCTGCAGACTTTGTAACCAAATTTGGGTAGCTGCATTTTTTAAAACTTTGATCCTTTTTCGTTTCTTTTACTTTTATAAGACCTCATCGTCATGCGATAAATCCAAACAGAACTAGTGACAAAATGTATTAAGGTTGTCATCTTACTTCTAATACTAAATTATTTTACATATCTTCGGTAGAAAGTAAAAATCAAGCGATTGCCTGAGTCTGGGCACTGAATTATGACCATCATTTTTATCCACAAGAACTTTGCAATAACATTAATATACTGTTGATATAAATAGCAAGCCTCAAAAGCCCCATAAACACATCCATATCACCACTTAGTAGCCAATGATTAAATTTATGAGCCAAGAGAAATTGTGCTGCAAGACTGCAAAAACTGACACAAGCAATCCTAATTACAACTTTTAAATAACTATGCAACACAAATGTTGTTGGAACCAACAGTTTTGAGTGACAGTACACAGACAATTTTTAAGTAATATAAAAACTTGTCCATACATCTATGATGATGGAATCATTGTTGCACTTAGACCATTTGAAAACAAGACCCATCTGAACTTTACCAAATTGTTTTGCTGTAATTTGATCGGAACAATGACAACATACTTTTCAACTGCAACTTACTTATAAAATAAAAAGCAGAAATTTCACAAATACATTTTCAAAGGGTCATCTTTACGAACACAGGCTATATTTAATAAACAGTATTTAATGTAAAGACCTCTGGTACAGTCAGAAATGAGGCATAGTTCACCTGTCCCAAATCATATATTCCAATTATAATTTTATTTACTTCTAGAATCTTAAGAGAAAAGGGGCCACAATTGTTAGTGTCATGACACAGTGAAATCAAGCACTCGTAAATTTTTCAGCATATGGAATTATTGGTCTTATTTTAAATTAAAGTTCGTAGATTTGCTGTGCTTTTGATTTTAAGAAATACCCACCTATCTTTAATAGAAGTCGAGATTTTGTGATTGAAGAAGGTGGGAGTCGCCTGGTTTCAAAGATAGAATTAGCGAGAAAATGGCCAAAAAATGTCAATTTCTTCAATTTCATTGTTTAGACAGCCGCCTGGTTCCACAATGCATGCAACACATTTGACTGTTAGTGTTATACACTGCTATAAACGCATTTTTCATTTTTTCTAAATAACCCTGCTTGTCCCGGTCTGCCCATGCCGAGTGGAATAATATCCGCGGGAAAAAGATGGTGATCCACAATAGAATATCTACCTGTAATGTAAACTAAACTCATGTCAAAAGCTTGCAGGTTGAAGAGACAAATCATCACAATCCAAACACCGGTACAATTACTCAGGAAGCAAAGAGTGTCAGTTTTAGTAAGAGTTTTATGGCCCTTGCAGCACAATTAGGTCAAACAAGTGCCAAAGATTAGAGGTGTTACAACAGAGTAACACACTACGAAAAAGAGGAGAGATACAGACCATAGTTATTTGATAGGTTAGAAGGAGAAAACAACACCAGAGCACCCATCAACCACCCACAAAGGAAAGTTTGTTAACAGAGAAAGAAAGGGGGATGGCGAGGACTGTACAGACTCAAAGATCATGGTTACTCTGAGACCATTTCGAACTCTATCCTATTTTCCTCTATACAGTATGCTGAAGTTTATTGACCTTGACACTATGATAATTCTATGATGATTGCGGATTACATGTAGTTTGCTTTATCTGCTAGCTTTCATCACTTAATTAACTCTTAAACTCCGGCAAGCCGCCCCCAGCGGACGGCGGCCTGAACCACTGTGCCTGTGAGCCACTGACAGCAGCTCAGGCACTTTCCTTTACAACAACTTCGATATCAAGTTACTGTCCGGCAATTGCCGAAAACAAGTCTCTTATACCTGAAGTTCATTCATTAGATGAAGAACTATCCAAATAGGTTAACTAGTTTCGATTTAATGACCCATTTAATTATGTTTTTGTCATTTTTAGATTTAGTACCAAAAACGGGCCCCGGCATAGTGGGTTTACCCCCCTCGCAGAAAAAAAGTCAATTAAATAACTAGATGTAGGGAAGCAGCCTACTGACTAACAGCAGACCTATGACAAACATCTGTTGCTTGAACTACATAACTACTTTTGGTAAAAATAAAGTGTGACCCCCACATGTCTTCCCAAATTAAAACGATCTCAGAACACTTGTTTCCTGTTCCTGAAAGGTATAGATGCAACCCCACTGTGATTCAAATGTTGCACACTATATATCACGCAGTTCAGAATGGGGGTAGGTGGGGAAAAGGGGTGGGGGGGCATACTTGACTTTTATCCTACTTCCATGATAGGCTCCAGTCTCTCTTCCTCAACTGGCACAGGCTCCTCTTCTTTCTCAGCACCTCCTCCTTCAGAATGAGACACGATGAAATCCGCAACACCATGGGTGCTTCCTTCCAGCCTGCTAATGTTACTGGCACTGCCTTTCCCGAGATCGTCTCGTTCCTCACCACAACCGCCTTTGTCATCATTTTCTTCATCGGAATTGTCACTTTCACTGTCTGAGATTCTCTGTAGGGCCCGCTCCAAGTCATCGAGTGAGTGATCATCATCGTCCAGTTCATCCTCTTGCTTACCAAGAAACAGGGCCATGATCATGGAAAATAGACTGGCCCCCATCAAGAGGAAACCTGACAAGAAATAACAGTTTATATTAATATATTAATACCTGTACAAAAGCAGTGACAATAAAATACCTTTCCAGAAATAAGAATCATAATAATTGTACAAAAGAAGCATCAATAAAATACCTTTCCAGAAATAAGAATCATAATAATTGTACAAAAGAAGCATCAATAAAATACCTTTCCAGAAATAAGAATCATAATAATTGTACAAAAGAAGCATCAATGAAATACCTTTCCAGAAATAAGAATCATAATAATTGTACAAAAGAAGCATCAATAAAATACCTTTCCAGAAATAAGAATCATAATAATTGTACAAAAGAAGCATCAATGAAATACCTTTCCAGAAATAAGAATCATAATAATTGTACAAAAGAAGCATCAATAAAATACCTAACCAGAACTTTTCAGACCTTGTGAAAACATGTGTAGGACTTTAAAATGTATTGATCACATTGTCTAACATGTCTTGTACCAAGACTTTTCATAAAAAGTCTGTGACATTTGACAAAATCCTGACAATGTCAGAAATCCAGATTTCCGATTTATTCAGAAAATCAGCACTTTTATAGAATAAAACACCTGGTTTTTCTTTTAGGGTGTTTATCAAAGATAACAACAAACTATGCGAAAGTGCCAGGATCCTTACCAGCAAATAGGAAAGATCTTGCAAAGCCAAGTTCCTTGACAATCATGCCTGGGAAGATCAAATAAAACACAAGAAACTTTTACTTTATGCAATTTGACTAACAAATTTTAATGTGATGAGAGAGAGAGAGAGAGAGAGAGAGAGAGAGAGAGAGAGAGAGAGAAAGAGGGAGGTACAGAGGTAAGGAGGCACAGACAGAGGCTCGGTGCACAAAGGAGGGTGTTAAAGTTAGTTTTAGTTTTAGTAGAGGTTTTACGGCGCTGAATAACAAACATAAAAAAGAAGAAGAGGAGATAAGGATGATAGATGTTTCACAGGAAAGAAGAAGCAAACCACACCAGAGCACCAGTCAACACCCACGGTGTTTAAGTTAGACAGCTGCACATGACACGACATAGTGATGTAGAGTGTCAGGTCTGGTGGTTTTTATCTTTATACTCCCAGAGGCGGGGTTGAGTTGGGTTGGAGTAACTAAACCATAAATTTTGAAAAAAAATAGCAATCAGGGGTGTTGCGATCATATTTTCAGAAAATTGCACCCAAAAAAGTCATGACGATTCAGTAGAATTCATAATAAAAACCCCTTGCAAATGTACGTTTCAAATAGCCACATTGGGGATTCAAACAGGAGTTATTCTAAACCCCCATCCAGCATGCCTCCAACCTTTTAACCCTATCCTTACATCGTGTTTTACTATCGTATCCATACTACATGGGGAACTTTGTGTCACCACTTTCCAAAGAGGAAATTTACTCATTAATCCGGTCCATATGCTCGTTAATCCGATCCGTACGCTTTGCATAGCAGTCTGTCAAAATGACTTTTTGAGAAATACCGAAAGTTTCAAAGAGATCTTCGCACTAGACGTATTCTAAAATGTGAAGAATACAACCCTGGAGGTATAAAATGACCCCAGGGCGTACGGATAGGGTTAAAACATAATTCCTTTTAAAAAGAATACCCTCCCTTCTATAACGCCCCCCCCCCTCACCCCCCACAAAAACCCCCCCCAACAAAAATAGCAAAAGGAATCCGGCAAAAAGAAAAAGAAAAAAACAAAAACCCCTCTAAAAAACCCCACTTACCAGCCAAGGGGGGCCCAATCAGATAGCCAAGGCCCTGGGACATGAGCAGGAAGCCGAAACCAATCCCCAGCTCCCCGATGCCCAGCAGGTCAATAGTGATGAGGGAGGTGAGAGGCACCAGGGCCCCGGTGTAGAGGCCCAGCAGACAGGAGACCACCACCTGCTCCATCATGGTGGAGGTGATTGCTGGACTGAGGGCCACAAACATACCGGCCACGCCTAAGCTACCTGACATATGGACAAACAAAAGAGATTTAACCCACATTGTGAGCCCTCCTGACCTCTTGAGGCTACTGTGCCCCTCTGCCTGAGCTCCTGAGTGATGTATTTTTAGTTTTTTAGTCCGTTTTTTTTAACGAGAGAGAGAGAAAGAGAGAGAGAG